GTTCCCTGTTCTTCTGGAACTGGGGAGCCCAGAACTGGACCCAGTGCTCCAGATGGAGCAGGAGCCCAGCAGGTCTGATGGAAAAGGACCCTCAGTCTGGGAGAGGAGACTTCATGCTGGTGTTTTCTGCCCCGTCTGCTTGCACAGCCCTGGGCTGGGGCCAGTGGCTCATCCTGCAGCCCTCGCCACAGCCCACTGCTGCTGACAGGGATCCCCCGGAGGGATGGAGGTGGCCACGGAGCTGATGGGAGCAAACCACCAAAGCCATGCATGGTCCTTGTGTGGTCCCCACTCTCCCGTCACACCGCAGGGTGCTGGGGGAGTCAGCTCTGCCCACACATCCCTGTGTGCCCACACAGCACCCCAGGAGCAAAGCCCCTCCGAGAGCCCAGGGAGCTGGGGGGAGGGTGGGGGGACACCCTGGGGACCCCCCTTACCTTTTCAAGCCGCTGGCCAGGCAGAGGCAGAGCATGGCGAGGAGGAGGAGGAGGAGGAGGCGCTTCATGTCGGCCGGGCTCTGCGGGTGCGGGCAGCGCCGCCGCGTCCTTCTTATACCAGCAGGTACGGCCTGGCCCCGCTGCGCCCGCGATAACGCCCCGCTCAGTGTCAACACGGGGCTTTGGCGGTTGGAAATGAATCACTGGCCACGTCCCAGGTGAGGCAGAGGCAGAGCCGGTGCCCCCGGGGTCAAGTTTGTTCTCGTGGGCGAGGGGCCGAGCAGGACGGGGTATGGGGACGTGCTGGGAGCTGGGTGTGTGTGTGTGAGGGGGTGTCAGATGCTTTTGGGGGCAGCGAAGGTCCTGCAGCAGGAGCAGAAGGGGGTCTCCATCCCACCACCTGCACCTTATCCACTGGAAATCGCACTGCCCACCTAAACTGGTGGAAACCCCCCCAAAATGCTGCGTTTCCCCTTTCCTCTGCCCCACAGCCACCCCCTGCCGCCATGGGGTGCTGGAGGGGGTGCAGGAAAGGGATGTGTTCGTAGCATCGGGTGGTGGCTGAACAAACTTTAGAAGGCAAAGACTAATTAGCAGTGAGGGACCGCTCAGGAATCTGCAACTTTCCCTTTCAAATTGCAGTCAGTGTCATCACAGCCGGGTCGGTTTTGCACAGGAGAGAGTTAGGTGGTGCCTCACAGCCATTAATGGGCTCTTCCCCAGAGGCTGATTTTTGTTGAGCGCAGGACGGCCGCCTCATTAAGCCCCTGTGAATGCAAATAAAAAATGCTAATGAACAAATAAAGCCTTCAGATCCGGAGGGGAGGCGAGGCTTTTCCTGCTGCCACCACCTCTCACATGCCACATCGTCCTCCTGGTTGTTGTCCCCGCGTACGGGACTGCGGTCACTGGTGATGGGTGGCACAAAGCAGGGGGGGGTTTACCCAGTAAATAGAGTTCATGTAATTAACGGGGGTTTTACCCTTAGCACTGTTCTAATCAAATTTCCATTTATCTCGGTTAGGCCATTTTATCTAATTAAAGTCCTTGCCTGTGGGGACAGGTACCAGAGGGGGGGTGTGAGCCCAACGTGGCTACTGGGATCTGGCCTGAGAAAGAGCTGCCTCCTGTCTCCTCTTAGGGGGGTCTTGTCTCTCTGTCCCCGGGATCTGCTCCCGGGCTCCTCCTTCCATGGCTTAAGATGAGTTTAAGCTGAAAAAAATCCCATTAAAGGTTTCTTCAGCGTGAGCACAGAGCCATGGGGCACGGCGGAGACGATGATGCTGGAGGCATCTTCTGAGTCAAATGCAAACTCCCTGCCCTTCCCCACGTTCATGGCTGCAGCATTTTTTACTGAGTAGCTTTTATGCACAACTATTAATCTGTTTCCCTTTTTAAGGTGCAGTTTAATGTACTGGCCTTCCTTCTCATCCTAATCACGTATTCATGGAAGGGATTTAAAAAAAAAAAACAAGCAAACATCCTAAACCCACACCAATCGCAGCAAGTGCCAGATCAGCTGAAAAGCAGCAACTCGATTGTTACGGACATGGTTCATAACCCAAAAATTCCGTAAGAAAATCCAGCCTGAAGGGTCATCAGGCTTCTGAGATAAACAGGAGTGTGAGCTGTAGCACAGATGAGCCAAATACTTTAAGCAAAATAGTTTATTTAGCAGAAAAGCTCTCTAATTGGATCATAATAATCTGCAAACTCATGACAGTAGATTCAGAGTATGAAGACTAAAGAAATAAAGAGGCCCAACCTTTCATTTAGAAATTTTTGGAGGTAAGCAAATCTATTTCTACTTTTACTTAGTTGTTTTAGAAGTAATTTTAAAACCTAAACTCTTCAAGGCAAATAAAAAATGTATTTCAACTCTAATGAAATATTTTTTTTTCCTCTTTCTTTTGGGAGCCAATGCAAGACTCAGACGTATTTGTCCAGGAAATTGGGAAAAAAGGCTTTGCTTCGCGTGTCTTTACGGCACCTCCTGATGTGGCGGAGGGAGCCCTGAGCGACAGACAAAACATACAGAATTATTTATAAGACCGAAGGCCTTTGAATCCATCTTGTTAATAAAACAGCAGAAAAGGCGCTTATGTTCAGTAGAAATGGAATGAAACGTGACTACCAGATACTGGAACATCCCAGGTCTTATAAGTAATATATGGCCTACATACAGCCCTGTGCTACTCCCAAGCAGTAGCTGTCACACAGCGGATCTTACCCCATCCAGCTTTATATATTTGCCCTCAGATCTGTTAGAAATTGGTTATGCACCCTGTGTGGAAAACGTGCCTCTTACCAGCTCAGTGTATGGCGCTTTACTCATTTTAAGAAACCCACTTTCAGGCTAAAAATATGTTATCTGTGTTCTTTTTATTATTTTTTTTCATATTTCCTTTCCTTCAGCCACTTCCACTATTAGTTCTCACTGATTCAAATCGCACCCAAGTAGCATTTTCTGAAGAGCCTTTTTTTTTTTTTCTGTTTATCAAATACTTCTTCCACCTGTTAATCTGCGTATACATCATCCAGCACTTGAAAGAGTGAAACCCTGCAATAGCAAACACTTACTTTAAAAAAAAAAAATAATAAAAACAAGCAAGCTTCAGTTAAATATTTACCCAAGGCACAGAAGCTGCGGGTGAAGCAGGACTAGAACCCCCCTGCGATGGAGATGATGTGATCCCCACAGTCCCAGGGGATTGGGGGGGACATGGGCAGCGACGGGCTCACAGCGGGGACCTGGTGGGGGACCCCAACTCGTGATGCAGCTCCTGAGGGTGAACCCGGCGTCTGGGGGTACGTAGAGTTTCTTGAGACCCATTTCTCTTCATCTGGGGGGACTCAGTGGGATGCCAGGATGTTACCTCCCCGGGAGAGGAGCGTGGGGTGATGGAGATGATTAAACACCAGTGAACACCATCCCCAGGAGTTGGGGACCCCGTGAGAAGGGGGTCCCTCGCTCCCTGCCCATCTATCTCCTGCCAGGGAAGAAGCTGAAGAGGTCAGGCTGCTGCAGGGCATCTCCAGCACCAAAACCTGCTTCAGTGTCACAGCTGAAAAGTCAGTTCTTACAGAGCGGTCCCCCAGAGCTCCCCAAATTTGCTGCAAACTGATGAGAGTGGGTTTGTGACTCTGCTGTTAATAAGTGATGCAGCAAGTGACCACTAACCAGAATTCTTTTCCAGAAAATGGGCAGGTGGAGGCCCATTGATTCATCTCCAGCAGACACCAAGCCATGCCAACCTCTGGGACCACGTCCCTTATGATTTAAAATATTTTACCCCTATAGAAGACTTTCACTTGGAAGCACCCAGAGCACTTTTTGGGTGGCAACTGAATTACTTGAGGCTGAGCCAGCTCCACTGCAGCTGGGCAGAGTTCTCTGCCCTCAGGGACTTATTTACTCCAACACCAAGCCATGCCAACCTCTGGGACCACGTCCCTTATGATTTAAAATATTTTACCCCTATAGAAGACTTTCACTTGGAAGCACCCAGAACGCTTTTTGGGTAGCAACTGAATTACTTGAGGCTGAGCCAGCCCCAATGCAGCTGGGCAGAGCTCTCTGCCCTCAGGGACCTATTTACTCCAATGAAGCTCAGCTGCATTTTAGCACAAAATTGCTGGAAGACAGAGTATAAAAGGGGGATGACTCTGAAGAGGGCCACCCTGGGGGGGATACAGCATCTTCAGCCCCAGTGTAGAAGTGGCTGCAGAACAGCAGAGAAAGACCCAAATATATTTAAATGAGCAGGTTGAGAGAGGAGAAGCGTCATGGAACCTCTTGTGGGCTCATTTCTACCATAACCATGGGGGCAGAGCGAGACCGCATCCGGCACCGAGCCAGCAAGCCTTCTGCACTGCTGGACCCCCAAAAAATGCTGCTAAAACATCTTTAATTCCTGCTCCCTCCACAGCCCTGGTTGCCCAGGTCTGGTGGGAAAGGGAATGTACGGAAAGCTCTTGTTTCCCAGGTGAAACCCACTGGATATTGCTCTCCAGTGGCCATTACAAGTGATGCCTGGGAAAGCAGAGGGGTTGAGCATCGGGGTGAGAGCTGGGTTTGGTGTCTGCATTTCAGGGATGCATCACTGCCAGCCTGAGCTTTGCCTGGGGCAGCCAGACCTGGCTCAAATGGGATTAAAATCATTAAATTAATTCCTGTGATTTTGCTTACCTTTAGATCAAGTGCAGATGTTGTGAATTCACTCCTCGGCAACCAGCCAAGTAAGAGCTCTCTACAAGCCCTGATTTCAGTAGGGCATCTGCCTTGAGAAAGGGTTAATATCCTGGGGGCTGGAGGGAGGGAGGCTCGCAGTAACTTACCTAATAGACCAAAATAGTTCATGTGCCGCCAGCATCTTACTAGCTTTTATCTTCAAAATAGATATTTCAATACGCATATGCGTATCAGCTCTTCGATCTCACCATACCCCATCGCAGCACAGAAGTTGCCTGCTACTGATATTAGGATTTGGGTCTCATTTTGCAATTTCCTTTTGAACAGCTCATTTTTCAGATTGTTATCTGCTGCAGCAGCGTCTCCTGCCCCACCGTAGGAAATGGGCCGTTTAAGAATCACAGCCATTTGAGAAGGATATTTGGGGACAAATCAGTTCGATAAGGGAGGGGAAAAATCCCGGCGAGAAATGGACTTTTAGCTTGGGAGTTGCCAAACTGTTTGGGTAAGTGGAATTTCACAGGAGATTGGTGAGGCTATTGGAAAAGCTTTTGATGGATTACTCTTAGAAATGTGTTGTAGAGGAAATTATAGCATCTGATCCATAGGGTGGATAATGCCTTTGCTCTAACTATCAATCTGTCTATCAGGCTATCAATCATATTCTTATTATGGCTCCTTTAATCATCGTATTAAAGCTTTAGCTGAAGGTAACGTCCCTCTTTTAGCCATTTATAAACAGTGAGTATATAGGCATTGAGTGAAAATTTAAAGTGCTTTTTTGCAAGTGACAGATCGCAAAAAGAATGCCCTCGATTGATGTCCTTTGATATAAATCTCTTGAATATTATGGCCAAAAGTGCCAAGCCAAGGGGTCCAGTTCAGGTGTATGTGTTTTCTGATTATGTGCCTTAAGTCCCCTTAATTTTAACAGGATTTAAGTTCTCAGCTAAAATGAAATCCGAGGTGTTTTGAGTGTAGAGGTGTTGAACGGCCACTGACCTTTCTGGCTGGATCTTGTTCAACGCAAGAGCCCAGCACCAAACCCGTGGCTGCCTCTTGGTTACTTTCTTCTATAGGTCTATTTTATTTTTTTTTCCCAGATTATAGTTAACACATGTTTTTTGTGGTTTTAAAGAAGAAAAACAAAGAAACGTGAGAGCGGATTAAAGCAAGATGAATACATTTCAGTTCTTGTTACTGTCAGCGCCGCGGTGGAGCCCAGAAGCTCCAGTCAAATGTCAGAAACGACCGATGTGGCACTGAATAAAACCATTAAGCTTGATGATAACGGTGGGGAGGGTCTGGGGCTGGGGAAGGGTCCGTATGTGAGGGAGGGAGGGAGAGCTGGGTGCCTTGATTTTACACTTGTAACGACTTGCAAGTGGCGGGACCGATCTCTGGTTGATGTGGAGCTCAATGGGAGGGAGGGCTGGGTGCCTTGATTTTACACTTGCAACGTCAGACCGCGGCTTGCAAGTGGCGAGACCGATCTCTGGTTGATGTGGAGCTCAATGGGACCATTTTGGTTGATTGCCACCAGGGCTGCCTGCCTCTCTCTCTGTCCCCTCCCCGAGACCTCTGGTGCTTTGCAGGGTGTCACGCCGGCCACCGAGACGCCTGGCAGGGAGGATGAGCACTTGTGAGTGGTGAGTACAGCGTCCCGGGCTGAAGAACCTCAGGTAGAACCTTTGCACCCCCTTGCAGTGGGGGGAACACTCTAAGATGGAAGGTGAGTGGTGAGTACAGCGTCCCGGGCTGAAGAACCTCAGGTAGGACCTTTGCACCCCCTTGCAGTGGGGGGAACGCTCTAAGATGGAAGGATGACCCTGCTCTGGGCACCTTTCTGCTCAGTTTCTTGGTCCTCACCCGGGCCACCGAGACACCTGGCAGGGAGGATGAGCACTTGTGAGTGGTGAGTACAGCGTCCCGGGCTGAAGAACCTCAGGTAGAACCTTTGCACCCCCTTGCAGTGGGGGGAACACTCTAAGATGGAAGGATGACCCTGCTCTGGGCACCTTTCTGCTCGGTTTTTCGGTCCTTGCCTGGCCGGGCTCTGGTCGTGGGGATGCTGTGCCGTGGGGATGCTGCAGCCCCCCGTCACTGGTGACACCACTCCTGCTTTTTGCTGTTCTGGGGACAATTCCACGTTGTCACTGCGTGGCCGTGCTTGGCAGGGACACGGGCGCGAGTAGCAAAAAGGGCTTGTGATTTTGGCAGGAGCCATATTTGTAGTTTCTCCCTTCCTGCACCCCCCCCACCCCCGCCACTGACAGCGAGGCTTTTGAAAACCCTGCTTAAGACGGGCACCCAAAAAAAAAGAAGTATAAGGAGCACGAGTCATTTTTGGAAATGAAGCCCCAGATTTTGGGGCACGTCACCTTAAAGGCAAAAAGCAAACCCAAAAAACTGTACCAGCAAACTTTGGTCTAAAACCCACTCTGAAGCAATGGCGGCCAAACAGTGCCGGAAAGATTGAAAGTAATTGGGCTGTTTCTTTCACTTTGATGAAATATTTTCCTCCTCTTCAGGTGGATGCTTGTGGCCATCTCAGCTGTCACCCTGATGCTATACGCTCTCCTCTTGCTGACACTGTACATCATGCTCAGCAGGAAAATAGGTAATTTACTGTCTCCTCATTCTTGCTTGTGATCGTCCAGTTCAGAGAAAGTCATTTCCCCAGAGCTTCAGCATCCCCTGGCTTGTGAAGCAAAACCAAATCCTTGTTCTGGGGCTGGTTCTTGGGGAACAAGAGCTGGGGAGCCCATGGGGGTGAGGGTGGGAGCTGGACACCCCAGGGACCTGCCGGACCCCCAGATGGGCTGGGATGGGGCTGGGTCAGGGCAGGGACCCCCCTGCGGCCGGGGGCTGCCCCGATAGTGGCTGTGCGTGGTGTGGGCAGCATGGGGTAGGGTTACACAGCCTTTTGTTGTTTTGAAAACATTTTCTTTTATTGCTCTGGTTAGTAAAGTGGTGGCAAATCACCATCAGGATCCGTTTGCAAAATATTAACTCGGATGAAGCGGCAATTTCCAGCAGGAAAATCTTTCCCCCAAAACTGCTGCCCACGTTTGTGGGTAATACACCCACGTAACCACCCTCTGCTGGGCCCCTGGGTCAAACCCTTTTAGAACTTGCACAGGAAGAGACCCCGATCGTGTGATTCAACGCTGGGGTCTTTCATTGTGGGAGGAGGGGGCACACACTTAATCATCTCGGTAACTGAATTGATAGATATTTGCCTGATCCAAGACATGACAATAATTATTGCTGGTGCCGGACTGGCTTTCCTGGGGGGCAGTGCTGGGGTTTGGGGAGCAGGGGGGTGTCTGTATGGCACGGTGTGTGGGGTGTGTGGGACACAGCCGGGGTCTTGGGCTGGAGCAAGGCACTAACTGGTCTCTCAGTTGCAGCCAGCCGTTCCTGGGGGGAGCGGGCCAGTGGTAGCCCCCCGGCACAGCCCCAGCAGCCGTCCACGTCCTCAGCAGGAGGGGAAGGGACCCAGAGATTGACCTACAAGGGTAAGGGGGGATCCTACAGCAATGGGGGTTTGTCCTGGCACGTGAATATAAAGGTGTGGTATTGCATTTGTGCAATTCCTGCTCCCTTAGCCCTCTGCGAGGAGCCTCGTGGGCAGTTTCTGGGGTGGGAGAGGGGGCGAGCAGCTGGGTGAGGGGCAGGCACCACAGCCAATGGCAATTCCAGCATCCTCCTGCCTCCCTGGGCTTTCCCTGCCCCATTCCCCGTGGGCAGGGGGGTGACGAGGGGAGGGATCACAATGATGCCCTTTGGATTTTCCATTTCCACTCTTGAGTGCTGTTTGCTTTTTTCTCCCTGGTCATTTTTTTTTTTTTTCCATTTAACCCCCCAATAACGATGGCAGTGGTAATGTTTCCTGTTTTTAAGGGAGCAGTGACACGTCTTCAGAGACCTCGGAGGACTCGGACAGCAGCCCTTCCAGCCCGCAGGTACGGCCACGGGCAGAGCTTTGCCAAGACCAACCCCAGTGGCAGTGGTGGAGCTGCCAGTGCCGTGTCCCCACAGCTCCTGCTTGGCTGGAGACCCATCGAGCATCAATTTTAGTTGGGGGCAAATGCATTGAACTGCACTGAAATACCAGCATGAGATATTTCAGTGAGGTTCAATGAGGCTGGGGGGGTGGTTGTCACCTGCCATCTGCAACGTTCTCCATTTAGAGGGGAACATCCCCAGAGTTCAGGGGGACACAACCTGGGCACCTTGAGTGGCTCCACACCTTCGTGTGGGTTCAAGGGCAAAGCCACCCCAGGTGGATGCTGGTGCCTGACCTGTGGTTCGTGTCTGCTTCTCCAGGGCCCACGCTCAACAGAAAACCTCAATTACACATCCGTGGTCTTCCCGGGGAAAGGCCATGGTCCAGGCTCCGCCGGGGACTACGAGAACATGAAGACTGGGGTGGACTACGTCAACGTGGACCCGAAGAAGAGGAAAGTGGATTTCTGGACCTGCTCCAGCCCCGTGGCATCCAAGTCCATCGAGTACACGGAGGTGAAGCTGTGACTCGGGGATGCTGCTGGCGGGGTTGGGGCTCAGAGCACTGCTGGGACGGGGAGATGCCCAGAGCCCCCAGCAGCTGCAGGACCAGGGTTTCCCCTTCCCCTCGCCTCGGTCAGCGCCTGGCACCGCCTGATGGCTTTTATTCCTTGTAACACTTGAACCCTCCAATACAATTTGCTTGGTATTTTACTTAAATGCATCACTGTTCCTGCAGGCTGCTGGGCGTGGGGTGGTGCAGGGAAGCCCTTCCTCCTGCCCGGGCTGAAACACGCTCTCCAGTTCTGTGGGATGGCCCTTTTTCTCATTTCATGAGAGCAAATGAAACATCCCCCCCACCCCTCAAAATGTGATGTAGTTTGGGGAGGGAAATGCAGAGGTCTTCAAAATATCCACCCAAACTGGCTGGCATCTCCTCTAAATGATGCTTTCTCTGCTGATTGCTGTCATAAAATAATTTTAAATACAGTTTCTCCACCAGCTTTGCCCTCGCTGCCCGATAAACCCTGATTCATCGCCCTCCCCTGCGCTATTTTCCTTTGATGCTAAAAGCCTTTCCAAGTCCCCATTGCCCTCAGAGCTGTTCTGGGGCTGGGGTGGCCACGAGGGTGGCTTGACCCCCAGCCATGCATCAGGGGGATGCCAGTGCCAGGGAAGGAGGGTGGCCCCGTGGGGAGGGATGATATTCCCTGTCTCCCACCTTCTGCTTTTCCTGCCTTACCCCTGCACCAAATTCCCTGGGTGAAGGGGTTGGGATCTCCCCACCCGAGTGATGCCTGCACCCAGCAGAGCTGCAGAGGATGGGGGGGTCAGTGCCCTGGGCTGGGGCACACGCCGCTGTCCCCGCTGTGATTTGCCACCAGGTTGCACGTTTTCTTTAAGTATTGGTTTAATTTCCAGAGGACTCGAGGTCCAGCACTGTAATTTTCCCTAACAAAACCCAGCTGAGGGTTCTCCAGCTTGCAGAGATAAGCTTGAAATTGTGAAGGGAATATGCTCGAAGGCTGTTATCTTCCCTGAGGTGCTGTATCCCCTGCCCATCAGTGATTACATCTGCCAGGTCACCTTCATGCTCCCAAGGTCCAGGAGAAGCAGTGCCCGGGGCTGGGGCTCCCTGTCCTTCCTCTGCCACAGCAAATCACTGCTGCCAACAGACCCCGCTCCTTCCCATCACTCTGCAGCGTGTTACCTATGATTTTACAAGAAATAAACCTCCAAAGTGCTGGGAAGGGGAGCTGTGCAACAACTGGGAGCTCTGTCTGGGGGATGGAGCTGCTGCTTCCCAGGGATGGAGCTGCCCCAAGTGCATCTCAGATCTGCTCAGCAGGGATGGGCTTTAATGAAAGGTTGTGAGACCGATTGATTTGGAATCGACCACGGGGCGGGTCAGGCACTCCTGGTTTTATGACCTTGTTGTGCAAATTGGGCCCAACTTGAAGGGCACGTGAAGGCCAATGTGCAAAACCCCAAACCATCTCTGGGAAACATCCCTGAAGGCCAGGAGAGGTGTGTCCATGGAACTGCCACCAAACCATCTCTGGGAAACATCCCTGAAGGCCAGAAGAGGGGTGTTCATGGAACTGCCAAAACCAGCTAGTGGGAGTTTCTGGAAAAACTGATTCAAATGCTTGGTGATTAAAAAGTGAAAATAATTTAGGAGTTAAAAAACCTTTATTTGTAATGTCTTATTTTTACAGATTTAGCCTGTGATAACAGAGGGATTAATGCACCTTACTTGTGGGGAACTCGGTACCTTCGGTGCTCCCTGGGGCACTCCCAGAGCAAAGGGATGCTCTTGCCTACTTCTCTCCTGTTTTTTTCTTAAATAAAACAGCTTTTTTTCTTAAATAAAACAACTTCGGGGAGACCCACAACACGCAGCCTGTGATAACAGAGGGATTAATGCACCTTGCTTGTGGGGAATTTGGTACCTTTGGTGCTCCCTGGGGCACTCCCAGAGCAAAGGGATGCTCTTGCCTACTTCTCTCCTGTTTTTTTCTTAAATAAAACAGCTTTTTTTCTTAAATAAAACAACTTCGGGGAGACCCACAACACGCAGGGAGGAGGGCAGGGGGTATGGCAGTGCTGGAAGGGCATGGCTCACCACTGGCCACCCCTCCTCTGTGCCCCCACATCCCTGCAGCCCTCCCTGAGCCCTGGGTGCTTTTGTGGCTCACCACTGGCCACCCCTCCTCTGTGCTTCTACGGTCCCTGCAGCTTTCAGCACCCCAATCTCTGCTAAATACCACAAAACCAGCAGCGCTTTAATGGGATGCAGCAGCTGCTGAGCAGCCTGGAGCAGCGGTGGGGGCTGCAAGCAAAGCTGATGGAGAGTGTCAGGGCATACATCCCTGCAGCCCTCCCTGAGCCCTGGGTGCTTTTGGCACCCCAATCTCTGCTAAATACCACAAAACCAGCAGCGCTTTAATGGGATGCAGCAGCTGCTGAGCAGCCTGGAGCAGCGGTGGGGGCTGTGAGCAAAGCTGATGGAGAGTGTCAGGGCACGGAGGGAGGGAGGCAGGATCTGCCTGGGCAAGCTGGAGCTGGGCCAGGGCTACTGCCAGCAGCTCGGTGGTGTCTGTGTTGGCCAGGGCTACTGCCAGCAGCTCGGTGGTGGTGTCCGTGTTTCAGGCGTTCACACCAGCGCGGTGCGGTGCCGCTGTGCGGTAGCAGGATGGCTGTGCGTGACAGGAGGGGACATTTCTGCCCTGTGGCTTTGGCTCCAGCCCCATCCTTGTCCCTGGGGGGATGTGGGCAGGGGGTCCAGCCCCAGAACTGCCTGTCTGCAGAGGGCAATGCCAGGGAGCGAAGGGGGGAGCCTGCGCTGCACCCCAGGGCATGGAAAAGCCGTGTCTGCCTTCTCTGCTCTGCCAGCAAAGCCCCGAGGATGGGAGATGAGGGACTTGCTCGCAGGCAGCTCTCGAGCAGATGTAGCCACGTTGCCTCCTGCTGTGCTCAGGCTGCTTTGCTGACATCTGTGAGACACCCAGAATTCAGGTCCCTCAGGCAAGACGGGCTGGTGCAGCATCCCCCGTGGATGCCTGGGCTGTGAGGTGTTCCTGGAGGAGAGCAGCCAGCAAGAAGATTCCTAACGTCTGAGGAAGGAAGTGCCTCCTGCTGTGCTCAGGCTGCTTTGCTGACATCTGTGAGACACCCAGAATTCAGGTCCCTCAGGCAAGACGGGCTGGTGCAGCATCCCCCGTGGATGCCTGGGCTGTGAGGTGTTCCTGGAGGAGAGCAGCCAGCAAGAAGATTCCTAACGTCTGAGGAAGGAAGATGCTGGTGGGGCTCTGTCCATCTCCCCCGATGCTCACAGCAGCAGAGCTCACACAAGAGCAAGACAGACGGTGATGCTTTCTGGGCTAAGCACCCAGCTTTCTGCAAAATGAGGTGCTACCAGGAGGGAAGAGACACGTCCGTGGTGACAATATTTGTGGTGTCACATCCTCTGTGGAGGGATGTGCCCGTGGACTGGCCACCACCCAGCCTAGAGCGTGCCCGACTCGGTCACCACCTCCTCGCAGGGTGGGTAGAGGTCCTTGGCGCTGCCCCCATGCAGGGGGAGGCTGGTGGGGCTGGTGTGGTGGCTGTGGCTCAGGATGGTGGTTTTCCTGCTGCAGAGGCTGCCGGTGGAGACCTGTCTCCGCAGCCCAGACCGGGGGCCACCCCAGCAGGACAGGCAACGAGCCGCGTCCTGCAGCAGGTGCCCACTGAAGAACATGTAAATCCAGGGGTTGCAGCAGCTGCTGAGGCTGGCCAGCAGCATGGTGATGGTGAAAGCCACGTTGGTGGACTCTGGGAAGGCAAGAGAGAGAGATGAAACACCCACCAGGCTGGGCAGGGTCCCACTGTGCAATGGGCAGGAACTGGGGGGCTCTTTTTGGCTCTGCCATGTGTCCTTTGTGCCATCCCCATCCCACCTGACTGGCATTTCTTGGGGTAGGAGAGTTTGCAGCAGGGCAGGCAGAGCTGGGCTCTACCCGTGGCTGAGGTTTGCAGGTGGGTGATGTGCTGTAATGGGGATGAGCTGGGAGGTGAGACCCAGCAGCTTTTGGACCCACCTTCAGCCTGTGTTCTGGCCAAAGCACCTCCCGGAGGCCTTTCAATCTTGGATAAAGTTCCTTCTACCCACAGACAGGCTAGGAGAGCTACTGAAGATTTCCGGAAAAAGTCAACCTTTGAAATCAGAAATCCACTTCTGAAGCCTCAGCAGCTGGCTCAGCAAAAGCCTGAGGGCCACCCGATGCTCCACGTGAAGGACCTGCTCCAGCAGCATGGCAAAGCCATCCCGGCAGAGGATGGGAGCAGCAGACACGGCTAAAACCCTCCCTGCACTCAGGTACCAAGTGTGAGCTCCACACAGGAGCTCCTGAAGCAAATTCCCACAAGGGAAGAGACACACATAGCAAAGATGTACCCACAACATCTTTACACGTCCCTACAGATGATGGTCAGAAGCCATTGCATTTCAGGGTTTTTTCGGGTGAAAGTGATGATCTGACTCTATAAACTGCTTTCTATAAATACCACTGGGGAGCTGATCTGTGACCTTCCCCACGATTTTTAAAATGACAACATACAGATTTTGTTTGTTAAAAATGCAATGGGCACACTCTGTGCCTGCTCTGGGCTGCAGCCCACCATCCCCACCACTACTCACCGTCATCAGGAGCATCCTCGTCCCACACCGACCACATCTGCATGCTGAAAAAGGGCGCCCAGCAGGCGACGTAGGCCACCACGATGACGAAGGTCATCTTCACCGTGCGGATCTTGGCACGGGAGATGGTCCGCACGCTGCTCACCCGTGAGTGCTGCCCGCTGGGGCATTGCCCGCTCTTCTCAGAGGAGCAGGGGGCAGGAGGGATGGCCACCGTGGGTCCTCTCGTGCCAGGGCCACCACTCTGGGTCTTGCCCTTGAGGTTCTTGCAGATCTCGTAGCAGATGAGGCTGTAGCAGACGGTGAGGATGCCGACGGGCAGGATGAAGATGCACAGCGTGGTCCAGGTGATGTAGGCTCGGGCTCCCCAGGGGTACCTGAAGTCCGCCCAGCAGTCCAACACCCCCGAGCCCTGGCGCACCTCCCGCAGGGAGAAGATGAAGATCTGGGGCAGGCTGAGCAGGCAGCTGAGCAGCCACGTGGCCCCAATCATCACGTAGGCCTGGCGGCTGGGCTGCTGCAGGGTGCGCAGCGGGTGGCACACGGCCATGTAGCGGTCCAGGGTCATCACGATGAGCATGTAGGTGGAGGCGAACATGCTCAGCACCTGCAGGTACTTGACTGCCCTGCAGAGCGGGTCCGGCCCCAGGAAACGGTACGTCACCTCCCAGATCATCTGCGGCAGCACCTGGAAGAGCGCGACGCCCAGGTCGGTCAGCCCCAGGTGCAAGATGAAGAGGTGCATCCGGCTCATCTTCTTCCTCAGGCGGTACATCGCCAGCAGCACCCCCACGTTGCCCACGGTGGCGACAGCCAGGATGGTGGCCAGCACCCCGACCTCTGCCTTGGCCAGCTCCTCATCCCGGGTGTGCAAGAGGGTCAGGTTGGGGTCCCCTGCCAGGGTTTGGGGGCTCAGCAGCCCCTGGCCGTGCCCAGGCCAGCTGCGACGAGTGCCATTCCAGCCCCAGCCTGGCTCCATCCCTCCGGGAAGCTCTTGCAGGAGAACAGGCAGCTAAAATACTCCTCTCTGATGACTTGTTAAACCCTTCCCCACCTCCCAGGCTGAGCTCTGTGAGTCAGTGCTGCCTCTAAGCACCACTGGCTCCTCTGCCCCCAGCTGGGGGATCTGGACATCCCGTGGTCCTCCCCGCTGGCACAGGTTGTCACCTCCTGTCCCCTGTGCTCCTCAGCATCACACTAACCCTGTGCTGAGCAGCTGCAGTTCCCCTCTCTGGCTGGGCTGCTCCATTCACATATTCCCAATAAGCAAAGAGGTGCAAGAGCCCCTGGCTCAGTCCTTGATCTTCCTCTCGTCTGCACTAAACATTCCCAAATCCCTGTTTCTCCCCGGAGTGCTCATCTTGTGCATCCTCTCTCCCGGTAAATGGAAGGGAGAAGGGGAGTCCTCTCTGTTGCTTCTTTCTGCTGCAGCAAAAATGACAGAAAATGCTACAGAGGCTGCATCTCTTTGGCCTTTTCATTCCAAGAATAGCCAAAGCCAGGTGAGGGGTGTCCGAGCGTCCGTGTCCCTGCGGGAAGCGGGATGGCCGTCTGCCGGCGGTGACTCCCCGTCACTGTCACACACACGCTGCCGTGTGTGCACGCCTGGCTCTGGGATTTATAGCCTGGCAGCTCCCCTCCCTGGAGCCTCCAGGCTCCACCACGCCGGCTCTGCTGGTTGCTGCAGTGGGCAGGGGACACCCAGTTCCCCTCCTGCTGTTCCCTCTGGAGCTGTGATCCCAGGGCTTTTACCAAATGGGATTTCTGAGCAGGGACCAAAGGTTGGGAATCCTCCTGCGCTTCCCTCCTCACCCCCTGAGCCCCCTCTTCTGCAGCGCCTTGGGGAGAAGTGACTGGAGGGGTCTCTGCAGCTGCAGCTTCATGCCAAGGTGTGAGCCATGAATGGTAGAAACACCCTTAGTCAAAGGACAAATCCCCCTCTTCTGCAGCGCCTTGGGGAGAAGTGACTGGAGGGGTCTCTGCAGCTGCAGCTTCATGCCAAGGTGTGAGCCAGAGGAACGTCCACGAATGGCAGAAACACTCTTAGTCAAAGGACAAACGCACTATAAATTGTGTGGCTGAAAATGCAGATGGAGCTACAGCTGAAAGGCTCCTGCATCTCGCCTGCCTCAGCAGAGCTGGGGCCGGGA